CCTATTCAGCCACTTAATCTTCCTTTCAGTAGTTACCTGTTTCTCCTTGCCTCATTACTCAAACTGAAAATAGCGTGGATTACTTATTTTAAATTACTAATTTCTTCCTTAGACATGGGAAGCTCTTATTCCACATTTCCAACAATTAGTGGCAAAATTTATGTACTTCAATCTCTTTTCTAGATATTGCAATTAAAGATTTAGAAGAATCAAAAATGCATTTGTGGGTTAAAGCTTTAGCTTACTGAGGAAAACTTTAAAAGCACAAAGCAAAAGATAAAATATTTTGATTAGAAATATTCCTTTAGATTACATTAGAGTGAATTGAGTAAATATGCAAATGGAAATAGTTATTTTAGCATCATGAGTCTGCCTTGGAGAGTTTCAGTGCTTTGTAGTTGTTGAGCAGCAAACACCAGTATTTTATAAAGCCTGATTCTGACATCTTAATTGACTAACTGGAAGCATTACAGAATTTGAGCTTCAGTCAGCTGTTAGAAAGTTATCATTTCATGTCTTTAGAGATGCGGTACTGCTTGTAAAGAAAGGGCTAGTAATGTGCTGTATCCTGCTTGTGGCTAGCTGGCTAAAATACAAAATACTTTCTCTGTTTTGGCTCACTTTTTCTCTCCTAACCTCTTTCCTTTCTGTCCTGATTCTTTACTATTCTCGCAGAGCACATCTGTGCAGCAGCTTGTGGCAGAGGTGTTGGTTCAGAAATTCTTTCTCTACTCTCGCATCTCCATATATCTAACAGTTTTTGGTAGTCCACAGTTAACAGAAATTACCATTTCATCTGCCCCATCTTCTCTGTTCAGAACTACCCATAACATTAGTAGCCTTTCAGCCTCGCTGCTTTATCACCTCTGACACTTCCCTGTGTGTAGAAACCTGGAGGTGCCGTCCCCGCTTCCCGTGAGTTGCTGCCAGAGCCGTGATGCTCTCCACTATCTGTCCTTGCAACATTTCTGTTCTTTGGCTGAGGTGTTAAAGGCTTTCCTCTGTAGTCTTGATGATGATCACTTCAGCTATTTTTTCCCCCTTTTCCTCCTTGTTTTTCTTCACTGAAATGCTTTTGCTTACTTTGCATTTCTTCCTGTCACTGCCCCATCCGTATCATTGCTGTCCCCTGAAAATTGTACTTGCTTGTCTTGGCTAATTCTCTGTTACAATGTCAAAGTCAAGATTCCCGTTTTGCTATCAAAGCCCCATGCAACCTTGCTCTGTCTGCGTCTGATCTCATTTCCCTGCATCCCCCAACTCACATTCCACATTCCTCACAGTCCTCTGACTTTATTGCTCCTTTTGTCTTCCTTTCATGCACTCATTTTTGCACTGTCTTTCATGCTGCCTATGTGCCTGGAACAGTCTTTAGCATCTCAGCCAATTTACAGCTTTGCATAAATTATATTTAATAATAAGACTAACAAAAGTTCATTATCTACATTATTTCAATTAACTTTGTACCTGCATAAGCAGAAAACAGCCTGAGGGAAACTACTGTTAAACTTTGTTGTGATTTGTTGTGATTCAAAGATACAGATTCAGGCACGACACTTCTTTGATGATTCAGCATATTTAATTTTTTTAAACAGTTCTGTAGATGTTAGACTTTTTAACAGTAAATTTCGGGTTTTACTAGTTTTCTAGAAAAAAAGCTTTTTACTCCTGATATGTGAAACCACCAGCAGGTCGTCATCATAGAACCTGGTACAGAATTCTTGCCCTGTTACCTATTTATCTATTTTACTTCATTTCATCCTTACTAAAAGAGATGTGGAAGGGCTTTGAATGTTACATTAACTTCATCTCTGGAAAAAAAAAAAAAAAAAGTGTCTTCTGTGTTTAATCCTGTTTTTTAAAGGAATATTCTTACTTCCTAAAGAAGCAGTGAAAGGTAAGAAAGTAGGACTCAGCCTGTATCTGGGAATTTCTCTCAGTCTGGCTACTTCGACATATAGGTTTTTAGAAACATCTTTTAATATGCTAACTTTGTTCTAATAGCAGAGAAAATCAGTAAAGGTAAAACTTTATGTGCTTCTGCAGCACCTGGTACAGCTGCAAAGCAGGGTATTCTGCAGGAATTATATATACTTACATAAAAATCCATCTGAAATATTTGTGTTTTTTTTCCCTCATTCCTTTTAAACACTGCTATTGATACTGTTCACAGATGAATTGAGGTACCAAATAAATGTGCCTCTAATTTGTTTTTAAATGATTTAGTATATTCTGGAGATTATAATCTGAGGGGTGGCTGCCATAGTAATGTGCCAGTCACCACGGCGTCTGAGCATGATGAAAAGAAATTCTGCACTACACAGAGACAATACCACCAATTAGTATTTCTAACTGATCAAAGCCAGGGAACCAAAAAGTTTGCCAATAAATGTAGCTCAGTGGATGGCACTGGAAATTAGTTAGATTTACATATACTTATAAAGATTGCAGTCTTCCTATTAACATCATGGGAACTTTAAATGCAAGTTTAACAGACACTTCTTCCACTCACTGTGCAAACTGAATTTTTTTCAGTTGCATGAAGAATATAGCCATAGGCTTTTATTTTGCTGATGTAGTGAAGAAGCGTTTCATGCTTATATTTAAAATGAATATTTATTTCCTCTTCACATATTTTTTAAATTTTAAACTGAAATTGAAACAATGAAGAAAAGGGAGATTCAGTAATTGATTATTAAATGTTTGTAGTTTCTAAAACTTTTGCATTCTGCTTTCTTGATACTGTTCTAATTACCAGATGAACCTAAAAATTAAGTTATTTTAAAGCAAACCTATTTTATCTTAAATAATTGATTGCCTCTTCTTGTTTGAAAGAGGACTCCTTTGGCAAGGATTCAGAATCCAGCTATGATCTTAACCCGAGCAGTTTGTTTAATCAAACATTACTCCAATAAGTTTTGCACGGTCTCCTCCCCGACCAGCCCTGTCTAGAACAACTAGTTTATCCTGCGACGAGTTGCTCAACAGATGTCATTCTGGTAGAATAATGCAGCAGAATACTTGTGCCTTGGCTAAAATTACTTCAACTTTGATCACTTTTGTTCAGCACATCAGTCTGGCATTGTGCTTTATACCAACATAACACTTTACCCCGAGCATGCCTTTCAAGCTTAGAATAGCAGAGGAATGTTATTGAATTCAGTGCAGTTACAGATGAGTTAATGAAAGAAGGGAAATACTGTTTTTTTCATAATGCTTTTCTGTTGTGCTTTGGAATTAAAAGGGAATTTGAGGAATGTGACTTCTGAGTTATTTATTTTTACTTCTGAAGACTTTTTGAAAACAATGTAATGTCGTTCTATTGATCCCATGTTTCCGTAAATAAGTTTCTCTTGTTATTTCAAAATAGCTCCTTTTATAATTTAATATTGGGAAAATACAACTTTTTAATGTGTAATTGGAGAATGCTTATCTCACAGAGATGCTTTATCCTGGTATTTATTGCAGGAAAACTAAAATAGCAAGAACCATATTCTTGTGATCACAGCTCAGTATTGTTACATGTTGATGGGATGTTGTGGGGTCAGTTCTGAGTAATGACATCTCTTTACCTTGATACTACTGCGAAACGAACACTGCACAGCAGGCCAGCTTCTTGTTAAGAAGCACTGAAGAAAGGCTGTTTGTTTTGAACAGTAGGAATGAGATCATACACCAAGTTCTATAGGGTTCTGTCTTCCATAATTCCATTTTTCACAGGTGCGTGTGTGTGTGCATACACACACATACACAAAGATGCTCTATATATGTATATTTGAAATGGATTTAAAGAAATGGTTTTTGTAATTAAGCTGTACTTGTATTTTTAAGGCATGGCATTCTTAAATATGGGGAAGCACTAATACAAAGTACACTTTAATTAATTAAAAATATATCAGTATTCTGTCTAAAACAAAATAATATTCTTGGTTTATTTTTCAATTAAAATACAGCTCTCAAAATTTTAATGCAAATATAGTTACCAGGTCAGTCTCCCTGCCAAAACTTCTGAACAATACTAACATTAACATAAATGTTATGTGGCATATATGTAATGTACCATTTACGACAAATTTTTGTAATTTCCAGCTGACAAGTAACCAAGTGAAAGGCTAAAGAGGTCAACAGAATATGCTGTTTGCAGTCATAGTCCTGGCATTTGCTTCAAGTTGTCTTACCCATCTGCCTTAATGTCTTTTTGTTTAATGTGTCAAATACATGGTTATTCTGTCTGCTGGCATCAGACTGTGTGGCCTCGTAGAGCTGGGAACAGGACACAATTTGTGACTTCCTGAGATGTTCTGCTGAAATGTTATGTCAGATGTTAGTAAAATGTATCAAACCTAATTTTTATCTATCTGAAAATATTCTTTTGGCTGTTGTAAAGGTTGTTGAGGTCTTCGCTTACAAATGAAAGTAAATTTGTGTAGGCAGAGGAGGACCACACATTCCTGTGTAGCAGTTTAATAGAAAACAAATCAAAACCCAGCAGTGTTTGCTGTAAGCCTTGCATTGGCCACGGTTCTGGTGGGGCAACGTTCATGTGTGATTGTTGCTTCTGCAATCTTTATCTTATTATCTTATTATATTTATATAGATATTACACAGAATTTGAACTCACTAGACAAGTACAAAAATACTTTTTTGTTTTTGTTGAGGTTTTAATAATTGCTCATCACAAAACATCTGATGAAATGCATCAGTTCTTTTTTAACGTGTTAATGTTTTTGAGGGAAGAGTTTTTCGTGTTTACCATACTTCATTAACAACAAATTCTGAGTGATATTTTATAGTTTTTTTTTTCTTTAGCAGTTTGTTCAGTTGCTTTCGGCAGCATTGTACTTCAGTTGTGTTGCACATAAACCTCTGAAACAGATCTGAACTGTTGGAGGACCCCATTTTACAATAATTGGAAAAGAATCAAAAAGTTGGGAGTTATGATGAAAATGATTGTTTGCCTATACACTTTTGATGGTACAAGTCCTGATTTTCTTTTCCAGGTAAAGAGGAATGTGTACGACCTAACTAGTATCCCCGTCCGTCACCAGTTGTGGGAAGGCTGGCCTCCTTCTGCCACAGATGACTCAGTAAGTAGCTTTGGTTCTTGTTTCATTTCTTCCTACAAATAGCTGATTTTAGCCGTATTTTGATCAGAATCGCACAATGGCTTTTATCAACCCATATACATTCAACGGAGCTTTTTACTGAAAGATGAAAGTACTAAGTTATTGGCTTATTGAAGCGCATTTCCATGGAAATTATTCATGTCTATCAAATTCATTGTGTTTTAAACTACAAGAAGCCAGTGTTCCTAGATTGAAACAAAATTGCACATAAGTTTGAAATTTGAGGAGGACTATTGCAGTGTCCAATCTTCAGGAAAAAAATCCAATTTTTACATATATTCTGAGTAATCGATTCGTGGATAATGTCAGAAGCACATGTTAAACAGGCAGGTTGAAATCAGTGGAGAGTATCTTCTTTGGTTCTTGGAGAACCAATATATCAACATATATCAACATTTGCAAGATTGTATTTTGAAATTGTAAATTTTATGTATGCAAGATGCTTCAATTTTAAAACATATTTTAAAGGTTTTATTAGTACCATTATTTAGAAATAGAACATAATATTATCTGAGATTAATGTAAACTCAGTAACGGAATTAACTATAGAGAATTGCCTACAGATTTGTGAATCTGTGGGATTTAACTGCAGAGTTCTGTTAAATATTAGACTTGATTCCTTGAAAGGTTGTCTCTACAGCATATTTTACATCGTATCTTTCAGTTTTGCTCAGACATTTTTTTTTCTGGTAGTTCCTCTGCCAGCTGGTGAGGTTCACCTTTATTTTTAGGTTTCTTTTGTTTTTGTTTTTAAACACTTACATAATTATGTAGCTATGTTGTATGTAGATGTCAAGACAGTGACCTGAGAAAACTATAGAAAAACTCGAGTACTTTCATTTTTATAGAATCAAACATTTGAACTAAGTCTTGATCCAGAGTATGCTACAAAGTGAAGATGGAATTAGGATTTGCTGTTTCTGTATGTTAGTATTATCTTCGATGCATTACTTTCTACTTTCCTGTCCTTTCCTACTCCACTTCTTGTAAAAGAAGATTTGCTGTTTGTACACAATTGCTGTGTTTTTTTCCTCTGGGTAAAGGATTTATGCAAATTAAAAAGAAAAATGCAAAAGCTGTCCAAATTTCTAGTATAATTGTTTGCAGAAACAGTAATTAGGTTTGAGAGAGGTGGGTTAATCTTTGTCCGTGTATTCAAGAGCGTATATGAGAGTATAGATATAAGATCTGAAATTAACAGCATGTTGTTGTGTGGTAATTAGTCTTTGAAACTTGGATCCATTTTAACATTTTATTAGTTTACATTAGCCCAGAGAAGAATTGGAAACTCAACCCTTCTAATCTGTTTTCTCACAGCTGTTAGGAAAAAAACAATAAATGATGGGAAAACCTTTCTTTGAGTAGGATATACTGCATATGTAAAACTCATAAATCAGTTTTAAGTCTGTTTTTGCAAATGACATTGTTGCAGGTGAATTTTTCCCCCTTTCATCTTTAATGAAATTGGTGAATGTTGAGTCATCTGCTCCAAAGCAGGAGAGTCCTCAAAGCTCACTGCTAGAGTCTGCCGCAGCTGAGACTTGTCAGCTGTGTAAACAGATTGGAATGTGTTACCAACAAAAATATAATTAATTTCTGTCTAAAATTAGAGGCAGTAGCTTACTATTTATAAAGATTTAATGCTAGCAATGACTATCTGCACGTTTTTTCTTCTGCAAGCTGGAAATATTCAGCAATAATTACTTAAGTAATAAGTAATGATCTCTCTCGTTAAGCGACAGATTTTTTAAAACACTTTTCCCATCGGTTTTGTTTGCTGTATTGTGTAGTGCACAGTCACAATTAAAGAGTTAAAGACTTGATTAAAATACTTTTTCATTTACATTTTATGCAGCAGAAGAAATACTTTGTAATACCACAGGAGGTTTTTCAGTGCAGTTCTCGTTAACCTTTGGCTTAGCAAACAGGACAACTAAATAGACTTGGCATAATTGGATTCCTGTATCATCTTGAGTCTCTTATGAACCTGACAGACTACGGTCTTCTGACATTATCAGGAAATTTAGTGGAGTCAATAGTCATTTAAAACATTGTTGCTTCGTCTCCCCTCAGAGTTAAGATACGTTCTCTGCTTGTGCTACCTAATGAAATATGGGATACTGTATGAATTGTCAATAACTCTTTTGCACGCTTTCACCAGGGAAATAGGTACCAAAACGTCCCCAAGTAGGAGAATGTTTTCATGCTGTGACGCTTTAATTGTGAGAAACAAGGCGTACACAGTCTGTGGAAATCTCATTTCACCATTCAACAAAGAAGCGTTTTTAGCTTTTATTGTGCCTGAATAACTTTAACACCGTGAATTATGTCTGTTCTGCTCATTAAAGTTCAAACAATGTCAATGTATGAGTTTAAAATATTTTTTTAACAAGTTTACTTAAGTAAAACTTAAATTAAGTCTTTAATATTAATTAATCTATTTTGGAGGTATGTCATCAACTGATGCAGTGAAGTCTTGAAAATTATCCTAGAAAATTAAAAAATAATTAATTTGATTTAAATAGGTTCATGGTTTGTTCTCAATCTTTGTTTATTTTGGATATCATGACAACCTGAATGTTACTGAGCTTATAAAATGAAATGTGTTTTTGAATTTTTAGTGAATTATTCTGGCTTGGTTTTCATTTTCTTTGTTGCATTGGCTGAACTTCTAAAAGTCCTCTGGTAACTACTGCTGTTGTTGAGTGGAGTGAGCAACCTTCTAGTATGTATGCATTAAAAAAGTGAGATCAGTAGTAGGCAGTATTTCAGTTACAGTTTTTAAATGGAAGCATCATGATTTTATTTACATGAGAGCAGGTGATTTTTGGGGTATCAGCTTTACAGATGCATGTTTAAGGTAAAACTTTTTCCCCCCTGAGGTCGCTTTTTACTTTATTTCAGTAGGATGAATTTTTTGACCTGGATCTTTCTGTTGTTTTTTTTGGTAGCAGAGAACACCAATACTCAGTATGGGAAGGAGAGAGGTTGCTTTTGCTCTGCTTTTGTTCTCTGTATTAAAGGTAGAACTTTATCCTTATTTGTTGTTTTAAGCCATTTCCGTGTAGTGATGCAAAATGCATACTTCATTGCAAAATGCATCACTAAAAATTCTTCATAATGCATCAAAATTCTTCATAAGTAACAATAACCAACTTGTCCAGATGGAACATATTTGTATATGAAAAAGGTGTAAAATTTCTAGAACAAGTTGGAGGGGTGGGGAAGGGAGAAACAAAGACAGAAAGCAAAGCTCCTGGTGGTATAACTGTGCCCATGTGTGCAGGATCCATCCAGGGGACCTCCAGCTCCTGTCCTTGCACCTGCTGCTGCTAGTGCTTTGTTTCCCTGAACACTACTGTTAACCAGGACCTCATATCCTCATTTCAGGACAAGTAACCATACTTCATTGTACAGATATGCCGATGAATGTTAGCTTAGGCAGGAGTAGGTCCACAAGTCAGTCAGGTGCACTACAGATGAGTACCACTTGAGATGTCACACGCTGGTAATGAGGCTCTGCATCATCCCCTGTGGACAAGACCACTTTCAGCTCTGACAGCTGTAGGAGATGTGGTTGATGTTCCTTAGCTAAATTTAATGAAGACGTCTAGGTTACAACCAAAATTTATAGATTCAAACATTTATATATGATCTAATTAGCGCTGATGTTATGTTTAGCTATTTCATTGGTAGATACCAAGTGCAGTCCATCTACACTGATGGAGATTAAGAATGGTGATAAATGCTTATAGGATTCTGGAAAAAAGCAAACCATTTATCATGGTAATCTAAGAACACTGAAGAATAAAATATGCTGTACAAATATATTTAAAATGCAAGTTAGTCTAGTATCTCTGGTTTAAAAGCAAAACAAAAGTTGCTTTTTAGCTTTTTAAACCATGTTATTTTTTGTTAGAAAAAAAAGTTTGCCATCTGCTCACACTTCTGCTTCTTCCAATCTAGTTTGAACGTTCAGTTGTTTGAGATTCTAGAAATGAGAGAAATGGGAAATTTTCACTATGCTTTCATACAATGAAAGGATTTCTGGATGGCAGTAGCCATGATCTCAGAAGCTAGGGAAAATAAAGGTCACTTTTCCTTAGTTACCAAAAAATAAATTCCAGTTTTTAGAGCTCAATTCATCTATGAATTTAAATGGACAGTAAGGTCATTGAATTTTAAGGCTGATCTCATGTTTCTATGGGGAAGAGCAGAAGTTTGGTTTGGGACACAGGTGTATTGGGATTTGCTGAGGCAGGGAACGGAGGTCCCGGAGGTCGGAGGTCCCGGAGGTCGGCTGGGTGCCTTGTGGCTTGTTCTGTTACACTTGCAGAGCATTACCGAGCTGTGGTGTGCAGAGTAATGGCTTGCCAGTAGCTGGAGGAAAAAAAGGCAGGAGCTCCTCTAAGCGCAAGTGCACTCAGGCATCTGTCACACTCAGGCACCATGTCGCATTTGCTGATCTTCATCTTCTAAGGGTCTCCGTTTTGGATGGCTTCTTGAAAAACCAGAAGCACTTTCTTCAAGAATGCCAAGACCTGTTAGGGAAAGCCGTGGCATAAAACCCACCTGCCCTTCTGACTCCAACAGTTGCCAAGACCTGTTGCCCATGGATGTTGTACTGCATAGCGCGAATCAATAGCGTGCCACCCTCCGGGTACCTCGGCCCATCCTCATTGCTCCTTGCCTTCTGCAAAGAGCCTCTGTGGCTAAAGGGCTGCCTCTTCTAAATACGTTAAATCAATAATCAAATCAATGTTGATCCCTCTCCAGTCATTGCTTAATAGTGCTGCTCGCGGATGAAACCTCCCGTGGTGTTTTCCTTTTTAATAAACCTTTACATGATACATTTGGGGGAAATTGTTGGTATTGTCAGTGGAAGCCTTTCTGTCCTTTATCGTACATTTGTTGACAGTTGCGATCAACGCGGAACATCCTGCTTTTACACTTTTATTACT